CCCCGATAAATCTGTTTCAGTATCTGGAATCTGGGGGTGGGTGGAGTGTGGACCAAGAGAGGAGGATTCGAGAGGCAGGGATGAGGACAAAGCTCCTGGACACCTGCCTGAACTCCTTGGGAGGAACAGTGGTGTAGGAAGCAGGGGATCCCGAGTGGGTTGCACTGGAAAAGCATTCGGTTTTGTTCTTAGCATCCCATCCTGGCTTACCTGGGACTCTGCTCCTGAAGACACCCAATTTGTCCCTGACTGCCCAGAGAAAGGCAGAATTCATTGTCTGAGTCAGGAGCCTCATGGTGGTTTCGTTAGGCTGGCAATGAGACCGGCTGCTGGCAAGACAAGTGATAGGCAAGATTATGAAGTGGGTACAGTAGCTTTCCTGTCCCCAGGGTCCCCTTGCTGTGCCTTCCTCTTAAGTCCTTGGTCAGGGCTCATCCAGGTGCCTGGTGCTAAAAACCCACTCTCACAGAGGGCTCTAATGGCACTTGGGTAAGCCTTCATATGGATTTAAATAAACACATTCTTGCCCAAGGGTATTTGCACTTTAAGCCTTATCCCTACGTGTCCCTTGTTAGAGGGAAGGCAAGGATTAAATAAGAAGTAGGGGAAAAGTGTGGGATGGGGACTCCTCTTGAGGACCCCAGAACCTAGAGATCTCCTGTTCTCAGGGCCGGTTCCCCCTGGTCCGTGGCTGTGCAATCACCCTTCCCAGGCAGGCCCAGGAGGAAGTCCTGGCTACCCTGTATTATGTGGATGAGATGCTCATGGGGACCCGTTAGGAGCAGGACCTTGAGAAGCTCTTTGAGAAAAAGGATCTTGGGCATTTTTCTTTTCTTTGGCTCTGTCCCACAAACGCACCGTGGGAGGCAGGTTACAGATAAAACACTACGGAAGATGATATGTAAAAGAGGAGTGATAGCTTTGCTGTTTAATATTTCAAAGCTTACAATGTTGAAAGTTACCCTGATTTGGGTCTCTCCTCCATGTTTTCTTAACTGTGATAAGTGTTGTCTTTTCTTTCTTCTTCACATTCCACAAGAGCACACCCCCATCCCTGGTACGAGCCCCTGAATTTTCACATGCCCTCCCAAGTGTCTGCCCCTGGAGACACCACCTTGTGCACTCTCTGTGGGGGAAGGCCACTTCCCTGTCATTGAGCTTGACACAGTTCACTGTGAGAGGCACAAAGCGGAGTTCACCGTGATTCTGAGATGATCGGGATCTCGTTGGATTTATAGAGTAGGAGCTAAACTGTTTGCTATCATCTGATTTATTTCCTCATCCAGAAAATGAGGAAATCAAAGTTCATGTCTCCATGAGATGGCATTTAGCAAAATTAGCATCAAGCATGCAGTTAGGGTCTCAAGAGGACACGATTTAAAGTATTGTGATGATTCATGTTCAACTCACTGTATATTGTGGGACACTCAGAAATGACTTTCTGAGCCATTTCTCTCAAAATGGCATGGGGATGATAATTCCTACCACACTAGGATATAATATGAGTAAAGCAGGATTCCTGTGGAAATATATATAGTCTATTAGGGCTTTTCATGAGTATTGTTACTACTAGGAAGTATAATATTCTATGATATACACAGTATTATAGTACTATTTATTAGCTATGGTATTTTGTAATGTCAGAATTATAATGATAATAGGGATATATTAGCATGCTCTGTCAGGGCATCCTAAAAGCCACCCCAAAGGAATAGAAAATTATTGGTTCATTTAATGCACTACTTACACCAAAAATTTAATAAAGAACAGGCTCAACATAAGGCAAAAATGCCTCTTTGCACCATTTTTCCTGTAACAGACAACTCTGATTTACAAATGTTCTTCTGTAATTCTGGGGAATGGGAAGCCTTGACATTATTAGTGAGCAAATCTGGTAAATGGAAATAAGTGTCCAATTCCCATTTCAAGTAGTTCTACACATTCTAATTTAAATGTGTGTAAAATATTTAAAGGAGCAGCAGGGTATGGACGATGATCAAACACGCTCTTTCTGGTCTCTTCTTATCCCTGCTAGATACTGTGGGGGCTTGAGTAAGGGCCCTTGGAGATACATATCCTAATCCCTAGTACCTGTAAATGTTGTTTTATAGAGAAAGAGGGACTCTGCAGATGGGATGAAGTTAAGGATCTTGGGATGGGGAGATCCTGGATTATCTGGGTGAGCCCAGTGTAATCACAAGGGTCTTTCTGAGAGGAAAACAGGAGGAGACAGAGAAGAAAAAGGCAACACGACAAGAGAAGCAGGGATCAGAGAGAGTGATATGGCTACAGGCGGTGCAGCTCTGGCCTGGAGGAGACAAGGAACGGACTCCCCCCCCCCCCCCCCCCCGGAGCCTCCAGAAGGAGTGAGCCGTGTCCACACCTTGATTTTAGCACGATCAGACTGCTTTTGGACTTTGACCTCCAGAAATGGGAGACAATGAATTTCTTTTGTTTTAACTCACCATGTTTTTTTTTTTCTTTTTTAAAAGATTTTATTTATTTATTTGACAGAGACACAGAGAGAGAGGGAACACAAGCGGGGGGAGCAGGAGAGGGAGAAGCAGGCTCCCCGCGGAACAGGGAGCCCGATGCGATCCAGAACCCTGGGATCACAACCTGAGCCAAAGGCAGACACTTAAAGACTGAGCCACCCAGGCGCCCCAAGTCACCGCGTTTGTAGAAATGTGTTATGTAGCAATAGGAAACTAAGACAGAGGTTATAAGGAAACGATAAAACACCCATATCCAACCACCCTTTGGACCAAACGCACTAGCAACTGTTTACAGCCCTGCAGTATTTGCTAGTTGTTTCAAGTGTCTTACTCCTCTCACTAGCCTGGATCATAAATAAGCTCTTGGGGTAACTAGATCCTCAACTCCATTACTCGTTTTCTGACATACCGAGCTCAAAACTGTCCAGAGTAGTTAGGCTGTATTGGACCCAGCCCAGCCTAAACAGATGCATCTGGACGTGTCTCATGAATTCAGAAGGGGGCGCCTGTAGCCAGTGGTTATTTGCATGTGTGGAACTGTCAAGGAAAAAAGAAGGAAGTGTGAAGATGGTGTGTGAAGGCCTGGGGCAGGAACTAGTGGAGAGACAGGATAGCACCTGTCTCTTCTCAGCCCCGACTAATTAATGCCTTGGGCTGAGTCCAGGTGAGCTGCAGGCAGAGACTGCCTGGACTGAGAGGTAGGGCACAAGTGGCCCCTCTCTGGGTGGCAAAGTGTGACACTGAGTCGGGGACAGAGTCATTCTCCCCACTTCTGCACTGCGTGCAGGACAGCTCTGGCACAATGAGGAAGGAGGTCCAGGCAGCACCATTTGGCCTTTCCAGGAGGACAGACTGGCGACGCCCCTGGGCCCTGCTCTCCGGGAAGTGAATCAATGGGGAGCCCCATGCCTAAGGCAAGGGACAGCCAACATCCAGTGGTAGCTGGAGACAGAATCGGGTGAAAGGATCATATCTGAGCACAGGTAAGACATTCCTGGGACTCTATTATGTAGGAACAGTGGGAGGAAGGAAGCAAGGACCTGTATTGGGTAGGTGGAAGCACAAACCAGCAAAATACAAGCTGTTAAGGTTCACTTAACCTTATTTGTGCCTACTGGCTGGTGAAGCCAGGATCAGTGGATGACTGCTTTCAGATTAAATGTATTTAAGAATGGAAATTTGGGCTAATGTGCTCAGAAGCTTCTAGACTAAGATGACTAAGGAACAACTTGAACCAAATGAAAAGCAGACATTTTGTGTTTTGAAAGCATTGAGCTCTGATGGGTACTGATTTCACCCGCTAATTTGCTAACTGGATGCTGGATCCTTGCTGGTGGAATGCTGGATAAGTCAGGCTTCTGATGCAACAAAACCCTGGTCTTTTTGCTGACTGTGTTTTCCTGAGTCCTCAGCACAGTGCCCGATACATAGAAGCATTCCATAAATATTAGTATTATCCAAGTGAATCCCTACATGAGCTAAGTCAAAGATGCATATTGCTGATCCTTTGCTTCCTCTTTTACCTCTCACCTCCTAGAATTGTGGAGTGTATCATGTCATCAAATCAGCAAGCAAAATTCATCTTCTTTAGAAGGGATTTTGGTGTTTGGCCTAGCCACAACAAAGGAAGTGTATTGAGACTTTGTGTATGGGTTAGAGGATGGGAAATATGAACTCGATATCCTATGCCCTGCCTGTGGGTCCCCCTGGAAGCCATTGAGTGACATCTGGCAAAAACCCATGAGGCATCCCCAAGCTCTGTGGCTTTACCAATGAGCACCATCTAGGTTTGCAGTTGCCTTGGAACTTTCCTGTAACTCTGTTGGGGGCACAGAGCAAAACACACTTGTCTGAAATGGGGACCAGGAGCCCCAAGTCAGGGCCCCAGAGCCCTGTCCTTCTACCTCCCTGTACACACCCACACAGGCCTTCCAGGAAGAGTGAGCAGAGTTAGGAAATATTGATCTCACAGATATTTGTGAAAATTAGAAGCCATCGCCCTAATTGCTCTCAGTTGAGGGATTATAAGAGCCCCCACTGCAGACTTCCCCACAACCGAACATTTAAGCGTCTAGTTTTATAAAACTAGCCCGGAACAGCTTTGCTCAAGTTACTGGGCCTGTATTACATGAGTGTGAGGTTGCCAAGGAAAATGAGTCAGAGTAATCCCTTTGCTGAGAGATGAGGGGAAAAAAGAAAAAAGGCTTGCAAACCTTTAATATTTTAATTACCTGCTTCCAGAACAATAAAAAAGAAGTAAGATCTTCTGCTTCCTGTTGTACATTATTACAGTCCCATAAAGTACATTGAACTATATCCCCATGATGTAAGCCTTAAGCTTTTTCCTTTCATCTGTATTCAACTATTCCAACGATTCGATTTTAGAAGAGTAAGAATTAAATTTTGCTTTAGTGGTTTTAGTTACAAATATTGGGACCAAAAGCAATTGAAACCTTGCTGCTTTCTTTTTTTTAAAGATTTATTTATTTTAGTAGAGAGAGAGGGGGAGAATCCTAAGCTGACTCTGAGCTGAGTGTGGAGCTGGACACAGGCTTGATCCCATGACCCTGAGTTCACTCCCAGAAACCAAGAGTTGGCCACTGTACTGACTGAACCACCCAGACACCCCAAACCTTGCTGCTTTCTTGAAAGATTTGTAAGGGTCTTTAAATGCCTCCTAGGAACGATGACTAAGGGTAATGTGGGATCCTGGAACAGAAATAGGACATTCTAAGGAAATCCAAATAAAATGTGCACATTAGTTAATAATAATAATAATGTATTGATATCAGTTCATTAATTGTTGACAAGGGTATGTAGCATACTGATGTAAGATGTAACAATAGGGGAGACAGGGTGTGGGGCACATGGGAGTCTCTGTGCTATCTGCACAATTTTTCTAAGACTAAAATGATTCTAAAATAAGTGTTTTTTCTTTCTTTTTTTAAAGAATGACTCCTGGGGCACCTGGATGGCTCAGTTGTTAAGTGTCTGTCTTCGGCTCAGGTCATAATCCCGTGGTCCTGGGATCAAGCCCCGAATCAGGGTCCCTGCTCAGCGGGGAGCCTGCTTCTCCCTCTGCCTGCTGCACCGCCCCCCTTGTGTTCTCTCTCTCTCTCTGTCAAATGAATAAATAAAATCTTAAAAAAAAAAAAAAGAATCCCTCCTGATCTCATTGACTCCTTGAAGATTTTGGGACAAGAGCAGAGCTCCAGTGGATCATCTGGGCATCACAATTTGGGCCAAACTGAGTACCCATGATATGGTGTCTAGATGTGACTCCAAATGAATTCTTTAGCCCTTCTGGCCACAAGAAGATTTCTTTAGCCCTTCTGGCCACAAGAAGATTTTTAATGGCCTTGGAGGCCAGGCAATTTAGAGATGCAAACGGGAAGTGATCCTTTTATGGAAAATGGATTCAAACTGGAAGGGAGAGGCATCAGGAAATATTGTTGGGAGAAGTCCTGGAAAAGCTTGGGTTGTGTGTGTGTGTGTGAAGGGGGGTGGGGAGAGACCTCCCTCATGTGGCTTACATTTCTCCCTGTGTCTAGGAGTGTTTTCTATTTCTCAACTGCTAGGAAACCAGCCTCATCTCTTAAACCATCTTTAGATCCCACCTCTTTCTTGAAACTTCAGTAGCTAGGGTCGTGGATGGCAGTTCTTGCCTGCCTCAAACCTATTTCTCTTACTGGGCTACACCAGTCTACCATAAAAGAAATGAAAAACAAAGCTCTTATAAGCAGAGAACCCATACATGTTTGTGTTAGATTTGTAAGCCACTCCAGTCAGGCTTCTGTTAGGATCATGCCATAGAAACCATTCTCATCAGCTTTCTGGTGACTCCCACCCTCCAACATGCCCAAATCCAGTGGTTAATTTCCTGATCTCATTTTGATTGACTTTGTACCAGCATGTGACATGGTTGCCTACTCTCTCCTTCTTGAGCAAAGAACTGTTTGTTCTTCCCTGACACCACATTCTCCAGTTTTTCCTGTTACCTCAATGGCCACACATTCTCCATCTCTTTGGCTGGTGTCCCCTCTTCTTCCTTGTCATTGTTGGCCACCCCTGGCTCAGTGCCTGGCTCTCTTCTCTGTGTACATCCACTCCTTTGCTGACTGCATGCTAACCTATGGACTTCAATATTGTCTATATGCTGATGATGAACCAGCTCCCACACTATGCCCTGAGCTTCACGCTCATATATCCAGCATCTTACTTGATAGCTCACACCTAACTTGCCAAATACACAACTCTTTAAAAAAAAATTTATTTATTAATATGAGAGAGAGAGAGCAGAAGCAGAGAGGAGAGGGAGAAGCAGGCTCCCTGATGAGCAGGGAGCCCGACATGTGGCTCGATCCCAGGACCCCGGGATCATGATCCAAGCTGAAGGCAGATGCTTAAGCCACTGAGCCACCCAGGCGCCCCCCAAATACACAACTCTTGATTCCCAGGAGAGTTCAGACTGCTGGGTAGAGAAGACATGTTATTGTACCAACATTTTATTGCATCAACACCTACTGCTCCTCGGCCCTGTATTCCCAAGACTAAACCAGCTAAATATAGAAACATTGATAGCAGACAATGTACTTCCATAAGAAGTGTGGGAGATACATGGTGTTGAAAGTCGACAGAAATTAGGAACTATACACATGCCTAATTGATTAATAATAACATTTAATGAGTGCTTCTTTGGGCCAGGTACTCTTCAAAGTACTTTTACATGTTTTATATCATTTAATCCTTGCAATCACGTAAAGGTAGATATTATGACCCCATTTTTTGTGTCAGAAGATGGAGACACACAGAGGTTAAATAGCTTGCCCAAGGTCACAGAGTCTGTAAGACACAGCTAAGATTTGAACTCAGGCAGCCAGATACGCTCTAGGGAGTCATGGTGGAAATTACAGCGTTATTTTCCAGTCCAGGCTCATGTTCCTACTCAAATGTCTCTTATTCTATCACTAGACTCTGTGCCCTTTAACATAAAGGGTGTATAGGAACCTCATGCTAGAGGAATAGGAAACAAAATGAATAAAATGAGTTCCAGTAGACACAAACATTTCAGAAACACTTTTTAAAATGAACATTTAGGGGCGCCTGGGTGGCTCAGTTGGTTAAGCGTCTGCCTTTGACTCAGGTCATGATCCCAGGGTCCTGGGATCAGCCCCACGTAGGGCTTCCTACTCAGTGGGGAGTCTGCTTCTTCCTGTCCCACTGGGGCTCCCCCTGCTTGTGCACTTGTGTTCTCTCTCTCTCGGTCAGATAAATAAATAAAATCTTGTAAAAAAAAAAAAAAGAACATTTAGAAATTAGATTTAAAAATAAGGATATCAGTTGAATGCTGCTTCTGCATGTGGACACAGACTATCTCAGAGAGCGAGCCAATGGGAAGACTTAACTAAACTATGTAGCTACTGCACCTCTCTCCTTAACCCATGGCCTTGTGAGAATTAGTTAACCAATGACTGCAAACCCCTCAAGCTTTTCCCTTGAATGACTTGGTCTATGCTCAGCTAATCAGATCATTGGGTTCAGACCCCCAGCGTGGCACATACACCCATGGCCATACCCTTGATCATATACCCATGAGCCATGTGGCTTGTCTGTTCTCCCCACTGACAAAGAGATGTGATCTACTGGACACTGGTTTTAAAAGTTGATTGTACATCAGCTTTAAGCAATACAAATATTAGTATGGAAAAGAAAATTGGGAAATCCAAATCAGCTGTGGAAAAGCACTCATTTCCATAAATAACTTTATTCAACCTGTTCTTTTCAGAAAATGCCCAATTTCTGTAAAAAAAAACTTTTAACGAGAATATTTTGTTTCTTTCAAACATACTGCATTATTTGGTCCAAAAACAAAAGTTAAAAACTTCCCAAAGATCAATGTTTTCATTAAAAAAATTTTCAGACAAATGAGGCTGGATATTTTTGGTAGTTATTAAAGACAGGTTTTTACAGACTATTATGCACAACTCTTCAGAAACATTTCCTCTCCTCAGGTCACACCAACACACTTACTGCTAAAAGAAAAAAAAAGGTCCCAAAACATGCTTATTAAACAATAAAATTTATGCAGAACTGTGTAAGGACTACTGGTTTTGACTAAAAATCCCCATCCTCTTGCCCTTGACTACAGTATTTACCATAATTTTTCACTTTTAAATAAAAGGACACATTTTTTAAAAAGTTAACCAATCCACGTGTTAATGCTCATCTAAACATACTTTCTTCTTATCTTTCCATGTTTTCCATTGAGCAGTGTGTAAGAAAGCAATAAATGTAATGCTGTTAGATGAAAACAGAGCAAAGGAAAAATATCAACTGATGTTTTGAGAGTTTCCAGTTTTCTCTGTTTGGGATCACGATAAGGCAAAGAGGTCATCTCTTGAATGTAATTATGACTTCGCATTGAAGACGGACAGGGAAATAGAGCCAAATATTTTAAAGAGAAACAAGAAGCCCAGGTTCCACGGAGATAACTGTTATATAATATTAGCCTACGTGAGTTTATCTGCTTAGAGACTAAATGAGAAGACCATTTCATTCGTTGTTGAAGGCACTGAAAACATTTCCTTTTAAAGGCAGAATCTCAGGAAAGAGCAATTCATGTGCCTGGAAGCCTAAAAAAAAAAATCGTTTTATGGTGAAAGCCACCCGTTAAGTGTACATTATGTTCAGGAAATGTAAATTCTGCGAGAAGAAAGGGGCGCCCACCGTGGCTCTTCACACGGTCACAGAACTTGCCTGCCAGCCAGCAGAAATTCTGAAGCTACGAAAAACTGTCTGTCCTGCTAGGCATGCTTTTCAAAAAAGAACAGAGAAAGTACTTACGTCTCAGAGTTCCACCACGAGGCTCCCTTTTCCACGCTGCAGACCTCTGCCTGATTCTTCACTCAGGCTTGACAGCTGGTTTAATCTGCAAGGCAGGATGGAATGTGTGGTCTTGCGCTTGCTGTTCTTTTCAGAAGGCCAGTGGCCCTGGTCGTTCCCATGGCAACCAGGAGGAAGCTGCAGGCCCACCAGCTTCATTAACCACACAGCAGGACAGAACCTGCTTTGGTGAGCGCTGGCCATTCTTTGGGGGTTCGACACTGGAAAGTTTCCAGAAGAAACTAGGCAGGGTGCTGCTGTATGCTGACCCTGAAGGGCTGACCTTAAGGGAAGTTGTTCTACTTTAGCGGGAAATGGAATGGGCTAAGTGTAGAGCATGGAGATTCGTAGATGCTTTTGCTTTCATGATTTGTTCCATTCTTTTGGGCTTGATGGATTGTTATGTATGCAGATGCCTGAACTAGGGTAAAAACTGTCCTCTTGTGGTTGTTTCAAAGAGAAAATGAACGCATTTCAACTCCAAAGATGTCCTGTTCTCTCTCTTTTTTTTTTCTCGTTCTCTTTTTAAAATGTTTAGAGCCACAAAGCAAATAAACATGTAAAAAATACTCTGTGTAGGTTAACTGATGAAGGGTCAGTAAATACTGGAGAAATCAGATGGATGGTGGTGATGGAGGAACGTCTCACTAATTAAAAACACTAGGGAAACCAAAGCAGTTGATTTGTAGTTACCCAGATATAGGTTATCCAATATTTTAAAGAAGAGAGTCCTTCATTAGGGAAATTCATTCAATTTATTTATTATTCATCTAGTGAACCCTTACCACATGCATGTGCTGTGCCAAGAGCTTTAAGGGACAACAGGAATTAATGTCATAGTTCTTATCTTCAAGCTACAATATGGAAGGGGTAGTTATATCAGTTGATCGTGAGAAATGTTTGAAGGGAAGTACAAAGAAAATACATGGGAGTTACAGGCAAGGTGGAGCTACATGTTGGCAGGGAGATTGGAGATGTCTTCGTAGAGGGGTAACATTTGATCTGGAGTGGTGAGATATAAGGGAAAAGGGCAATAATGCCTCACGGAGTGAATCTTTGGCCAATGGAGGCTGTGAGCTGATGAAGGCTTCCTTCTTTCTCACCCCAT